CTCACATATAACAAATAAAAGTTTTTCATTTGTTCATTTATTTCACCGAGCCTGTGTTATACTATTATCTTAAATCAATAAAAATATATTTACCACTTTACAGTCACTCTTATCTTTATTGTATAATAAGAATAGTATCATAAATCTTTAGGTAATTCTTTTTAGACAACGAGATGTGGGTTTAAGTTGAAGAATAGCAAGATCCACAAATATCCCATTATTGGATGTGGATGTGCGCTTTAATATCTTTGTTCAATGTTTTATATCTACTGAGGTATATGAAAACAATCACTATCACATACAAAATTACACACAAATGCCTATCTAATTGCACGCGCACCCAAACCCACAACTATCACAAAATCTGGATCCACTACTTGCATCGCAAATCTAAATTCATCATATTCCACTGATTGTTCTCAGTGTCAGGATACAGACATATTGAAGATTTCGTTTTCCAATACTATTTCTGCTGTTTATTTAACCAAGAATATTCCGATGATGCTTGTTTGATTCGGAGAAATTTTGCGTGTTGTGTAAGAATAATTTTTCAAGTTCACTGTTTCGAAAGAAAGAAAAAACTGTAATGACTAAGCTTGGCAAAACTTTCATATGACACATAATACACACTTTTTCTCGTATTGAGAAATTACATTTACCTTGAGTAAATTTTACGAATCTTTCATAATTTTAAGATAATATTTTTTACTATAAATCGGACGTATTCGTCTTTTAATTTATTCATTCATCTATGATGAATATATGAAGCTTGAGATGGTACGTATCGAGTAAGTATTTTGAAGTCGCATCGAATCTATTGCTAAAATCGATGGAATATTATTTATCGATTCATCCAACGATCAACCGGATTCAAGATATTTCTTGTCTTAAGAAACAGATTTCCTTTGACGGCATTAAGTAGACTCAATTATGTCAAACTTGAGTATAGTCAAGAGAAACAGAATTTAGCAATTCACAATAAACTTATGAATAAACTCATTCCAATTTTTTCATCCATTCTTACAGATATTTTGATAATTCTTCAGATTTCTTCAACATTCATTATGTTTGAACAAGATGAAAAATCCATTGCTATGAGCAACGATGAACTTGCCTGTGTATATGCGGCACTCGTATTGGTCGACGATAATGTAGAGATCACTGGCGAAAAAATTGCTACAATATTAAAGGCAGTTAAGTATGAAATAGAACCATTCTGGCCTATCTTATTCGCCGATGCATTAAAAGGGATCAACGTAGAAGATCTTATCAAGAGTGTGAGCTCATTACCAATTGCTAATACTAGCATCAATGAATCCATCATTAACGATAAGAAGCCGCTAGACAGTAGCGACACAAATAGAGAGACACCAAAACAAGACGAAGAGAAACAATCAAATTCAAACGGAGATACTTTCGACGATCCGTTCGATGCCAATAATGAAGGATCAGAAGTATGTATCATATTTTTCAAGTTGATTTTCTAACATGTTGATTCTTGTTTTTTTTTTGCAGATGTTTAGCTTGTTTGGCTAGATTGACAAATCGTCGATAGTAATTCATGTATCATCAATTAATGCTATTTTTATATAATCTTAATATTAAAAGATTTTAAAATAAATTCTATCTAAAGATCATTCGAGTCGTTTATTTTGTGGAACTAGCACAGAAAAATAAATAGTGGAAGTTTAAGACGATACTTGTTCATCTCTCTGCCACTTGCAGAAATTCGACTTATATATACTATTATAGATACTAGTTTTATAGTCATATATTATGTCATGTAGATGTACCAATTTTGAGATTTGTTTATAATCTTACAGAATTTCTATTAAGAGAAGTTTGACGTATTCCTATTCGATTAAGTCTGTTGAAACGAGTTTCTTTTCTTAATTGAAAAGATATAGGTAATAATACAAGAAAACTTTCCGACAGCCTACATATTTATTGAAAAATATGCATTAATTGATCATCAGGCTCGATTGAACTTTTAAAGTGATCCTATACAACACACACACACTAGAGATGTTCTCCAGAACTTTCAGGTTTCAAATATTTTTGAATTTTAAATATTTAAGACAAATTGCTAAATCGATTAACAATAGAGTAGTATGAAAGAAAAAACTTCTTGATTTAATGCATATCTTATTGACTACAACAGTGTCAAAGAAATGGGGGTTAGGAAGTTTTCCACTGTGCGGTTCGAAAATTACATAAAAATATATCACAACTATTTTATAGCACTAGAAAAACTTTATTGACTGACAAGATGTTTTTTCTTCTATCATTATAAATGATTTTATGCGAATTTTGTTTTATTTTTCTCTTTTTGACAAATATCATTATTTCAAAACCTTAGTTTTACAATATTGAAAAAAAATTTTCTTACTACAACAAAATTCCAGCATGTCGAAAAGTTGAATATGTTTTCTTTTGAAAAAGAAAATAACCTAATTTTTACAGATGAATCTAGAAAAAGATCTAAATGTTTAATAGTTCTATTGTGCTCAGATGCTAATTTTTCAGACGCATAAAAAAAATGTTCAATTGTTTTTTTTTCTATCGTAGAGAATTGAACTCAGTATCAAGAACAATAATAATGAATCTTCTACGGATTTCATGTTCACACATGGTAGTTACAAAGACCAGAAACAAAGTTGATACATTGGTTATATTTTTCGTACACTCTTCAGTATGCATTTTAGATTCATTTTTCCTAGCGGGTGGTTGATTATCCGAATTAAATCTTTAATTATCAGAAAAAACATTCATAGTGACAAAATTCCATTTTCAAATTAGCTCTGTGTATAAGCAGTGCAAATTTCTCCCGCGGTGTTTGTTCTTTTTTGACATAGAAAAAAAAATCAAAACAAGTTTAAAAATAGTATAATGAACGCTTTTCATGATCTATGCGAACCAGCTTATAAAGACAATACAGTATTTAATTTTTAAAAAAATTGAGATAAAGCACATTTTTATCTCATATTGATTCGTAATTTTGAATTTATTTCCAAGTACATAGACCAAATGTTGAAGGATCGATTGCTCAATATTTAGAAATTTTCTAAAACTATTTTTTGGTCTTAATTAATGAACACAGTATAATTTTTATACTTAGTTACCCTTATTTTGCTAATGCTCATTTCATATCACGAAACGACTTAACGTCAGAAGAAATCTGTTTTGAAAAGAAAAAATAGCAAGAAGAAAAACCATGGTTTTCATCGGACTGATTGGTAATGAAGCGACAGATTTCAAAGAACAATATCTAAAAAGAACATGCTAATAAGTCAGGACACGCACATATCATGATACATATTTTATACAAACTATTAAATATAGAAGCAAAAAAATCTCTCCAATATAAACATATAAATATTGTGAATATTTTTGGTTCGATTCTTCAATGTCCAGTTGAAAGAGAGAGGCCATACATCATTAAAATTGTAAAGTATTTTACAAAATTTTTCATTTATTTACGAAATTACATATAAATATCAAAATATCTCTATGCATCATCTATCAAATTTTGTAAGACTTCAATTTACATTTTCAACGATAGTGTGATACTTAGGAAGTTGAAATTAATTTATTTGTAATCAAAATAATTAGACATTTGTCTTGATATACCATGCTGGCTTCTTTCTGAATGATTACTAATGACAAAAAAAAAATGCGGAAACCTCGAGTTCATAAATCAAAGAAAATTTATTACATCACATGCTTATTATGGAAAAATAAAAAAGAACAAATTCATATAACAGTTTTTTGACAAGTAAGATAAGACGAGCAATAGAATTAAAGTACAGACATACGTAGAATATTTTTATACAAAAAAAAAAGGCGAACTACTGAAGAATTTGATCAAATTCTTTAATACTTTTCGTCCATTAAAAACTAGGAGAATTAATACATTCAAATTTTGTATTCATCATTAATTTTTAACGGTTGAATCAATTTAGAATGATTCTAACACTGAAGACTCCGAAATATATAGATTATTAATAGTTAGTATTAACTTACGTGTCAACAATCAGATATCCATATGATCAAGATTTTTTTCACGAATAGAAATTAGAATGATATCAATCTTGCAATCATGTCAAACTGTAGCTAAATCTCGTCCATAATCACATCATACAGCCAGATTTTTTAAAAATATTTTTCTTTTTATTAATATTGAAAATTTCATGACTGACTTTTCCAAAGAAATGAGATCGAAAACAGAAATCACATTTTGTCACGTTGTAGTGACACATCATAGCTGCATTTAGACACAAATCTAAAATTTGTAAGACATTTCCACAATTTGAAATCCAAAGGTGTGATTCAAATGAAGATTCACTTTCACAGCTGCATCAACGGTAATGATTAGCTATGCTCGATCGAGTAATTGTATATTATTTTTAATTCTAAAGCTAGTTAAAATCATTATAGGAAGATTTTTGACTGTCTAGAAAGCAAATACTTCGATAATCTTGAGGTCAGAACTTCAAGATGCTTTTAAACTAAAAGTCGAATATTGTTTGAGTAAATCGTCTATCAATAAAAGTTAAGTTAACTGATCAATTAAATATGAATCATTTTCATTTTCTCCTTCATGTTGCTCATTCGAATGTTGAAAATCATATGTTTCTATTTTGTTCCTATGATTTTGTTGAATAATGAAGGCATGATTTTTTTTATGAAAAATTGGTACTTATAAAATCTTTATAATTTGAAGATAGCTTTTTCTAACAATATAAACTAGGATTGAATTAAAGTTCGGTAACATACTCTAATAGAGTTTGATATTTGTACTATTATTATTATTTGTTTGTCATATGTATTTTACGGATTGATAATATTGCACTTTCTTAGTTTTATTTTTTGTCCAGAAGTCATTCTATCTATTACTATTTGACGAATACATGCCACTACTATTTGCAAGCCTTATTCTATATTCGTGCAATCTCATATTTACTATAATTGGATTGTTTGTATCAATTTTTGTACTTTCAATGATGATTTATCGTCGAACTATTACAAGAACAGATCGTCTTGACTATCTGCTCATTGCTAATTCATATATATCTATGATAGTTGCATCTCCTCTATTTATGATTATGAATATTCAAGCAATTTATGGATATTTATATCCAAATAGTTCATTCGAAGGTTGGTGGTGTAGTATAAAATCATATGCTCTCTATATAAATGGATCTGTATATTTCTACTCATTCTTACTTCAAGCTATCTATCGATGTTGTCGAATCGTTTTTCATACACGACGTTCACTTCGTTCATTTCGTCTTTATGTAATTCTTTCTTTTGTTCAATGGATAATAGCATGTGTGCAAGTATTACCAAGTCTTTTTATTGGTGATTTGGAATATTTACCAAATGATTATTATTGTCAACTTTCACCAATCAATTTGCGTAGTACAATAATTTGTTTATCACTAATTTTTCTTATTCCATATTTTTCGACAATATTCTGTTATATATTTACTATGTATTATGTTCGTATGCGGCGTGTTGCCTTGGTAACTCTTCGTCAAAATTTTAAATTACGTCGAGATATTACTATTTTGACGCATCTTGCCATTCTTCTTACTTTTATAATTACAGTAGCTATGCCACATATATTTATGCCGATTATTTATGTTCTCTTTGGTTATGCTCCATTATGGGCAAGTTCATTCGAATGGTTTACAACTCTTTTTTCACTTGTTTCTGTTGCAATCATTCAAATATTTATCAATCCTCATTTAAAAAAATTATTTACACGAACAAATCGTGTGAATGTTAGAACGATACCAGTACAAACTGTAACAATTTAAATTACTAAACCAAATCAAAACTTTTACAATTGTATTTCGTTTCGATCAAAAATCAATAAAGCATCTTCTACTATAAAAACAATTTATCGAACAACATAAGATATGAATATAACACGACAAAAAAAAATATATTTCCTCATTGTTAATAAAATATTGCAAAAATTGAAAACTCAAGAAGTTTAACATTTTCAGTTCCTACATTATGTATTCGTGAAAGAAAGGAGACGAAAAGAAGAATAAATTCGGTCATATAACTTTTGTTTTAATTTTTAAAAAATGTATTGAAACTTTGAGCATAAAATTTCAAAAAATAAGTACTAGTATTTGTCAGAGCTTATCTATGATAGAATTTCAGATATTTGACATAAACCAATACTTGGCAAAAAGATTTAAACATTTAATTGTACTCAACTATAATTTGAAATTAAAAATCAAGATTTAAGAACAGTATGATAATACAAAATCGAATTTAGTTATTTACAGTGCAACCATCAAAATATGTTGACAAAATTTCGGAAGAAAAGCTAATAACATTGCAGATATAAACTGAACTTAACTAAATACATATACCATATTCAAAATCAGCTTTGTTTTATAACCCGAAAAATCAATTTTATTTTACCAAAAAAATTTTAATACTTAGATTCGTCTATAACACATATCTCTATCCGATCAGTCTTAAACTAAGTGAGTTGATTCTCGGTGAACGCTACTTGTAATTTTAGATTCTAACAACCGCTACAGTATCAGAAATATTTTTAAATGTATATGTTTGTCTGATTGATCAAAATTGTCTCTAATATTGATAGATCACTAATTAACTTCTTTGATCCAAATTTATTAGCATTCATTAGGAACGAAAATAATTTTTGAGGAAAAGAGAGTGAGTGAGTAAGGATGTTCTTATATAAAAACAAAATACCTCAAACATAATGATAAATCGAATAATATAGCATTGCTATTAAGTTACATATTTTTGATATCTTGCAGATTTATGATAACAGAGCCTGTATAAACTAGTAAATCTCCCTGTGTTTGTCGTCTTTAGTCATTAATTATAATGCACAAGTATGCATATTTGACATGGGCTTCAGAGACTAATAACATAGAAATTAAATCGTCTACATACATATAGCTTTATTCAATATCTTCCTTTTATTCATGTTGTCGCGTCATTTTTATGCTAGAAACACAGGATTGCTGAGACATTATAGGAACTCACCACATTAGAACATTAATGGCAATGAAAAATGAGAGCCTAGACTGCTCAAATTATGATTGTAAATATCTGATGTAAGTTTGACTGTATTTCATGCTATTGATCATTTGCATACATCAGTGCTCTTTGATGAACTATAATTCCAAAGTTTAAATAAGAATCTGGTCTATTTTATTTTCTAGAATCATTCGTTGATTCAGAATTGAGTAAAGCTTATTCATTGCTTTTTACACTCTTGTATTGATTTTCTTTGATATCAAAAGATTCTTAACTGATTTGTCCCATACACAATAACGTTAAAAGAAGAAGAATTGTTATTCTCTTCATTTTTAGATTTGGTTTTTTTTCTTCTTTAATAAGCCCAAAATGGGTTGTTGTTATAATACATCAAACATTGTTACCATTTCAAACACCAATCCAGCTGTAACAGCAATCACTGAATATGAATTCATTGAAAAAGTGATATCAACTATACCTCTTAGTCAACGTGATTTGATTCGAAGAATTCCATCTCATTATTTTCTTACAGCTTATGCTTTTTATAAAAATGCTCAAAATTTATTGAAGCATGAAAGATTTGAAGAAGCTGAATTAGCATGTAATAATGCTGTTGATATGCTTTTACAATATTTACATCCAACACATTATATATTCCAAAAAATACTTGAAATCTATACAGATTCTTGTCTTCGTCGAGAACACTTTGCAAAGGCTCTGTGTAGCACATTCACCTGTATTTTAATTCATTCTGAAATATCTTCTGTTGATCAAGCATCGTTATCTACAAGGGAAAATTTTCGAATAATCGAGTACTACTTTCGAATGGGTTAGTAAAATGGTTTTTTTTTTAAATAGAAAAGAACTTTGAATATGTACATACTTCTTATCTTCATGTTTAAAAAAAGCAACAGGACTTTTTTCTGTTAAGGTGCCATCTATAAAAATATGAATGATATGAAGAATGCTTTGAAATATATGCTACAAGCACGACAAATGATTTCATCATGGCCTCAGGTTGAAGAAATAATCAATTTTACTCGAATTATTGATGATAACATTCGAGACGTACGGTAAAAATTTAAGCTATGTTGAAGTCTAATAAATATAAAACAATTCATATAAAACTGCACGAACTAATAATACTTTCTAATATATTCTTCGATGAGTGGTCCGACAAAAAAAAACTGAGCTATCTTAAGTTGGAAATCTGATTTTTCTTCCCGCATGACTGTTTTTACAGAACGAAAGGTTTTCAAACTAATGCGTCCATTACTATTTTTTGTATATTCTAGCGAACCAAAATTGACTATTCAACCTGTTCATCCTCGTCCTGATGAAAGTGACATTGATTTTTCTCGGCGATTCACACTTGAAATGGCTCAGTTTAACGCTCAAAGAGGTACTCTCCAATTTGATGTATCAGAGTTTACCCGTTTACCTCTGAAATCGACCGAATATTTGATTACACCGGCTATTTTAAAAAAAGTGTATAAATGTTTATATAATGAATTATCAAAAAATGGTCTAATGGCACGAGTCGCTCGTCTTGCTATAGAATCTCAATTAATTGCAGCTCAAATAAAAAATTCAATACCAGAATTGAAACAAAACAGTCTATTAACACCTATGTTGATTGAAGCCGCTTTAACAATTGTTATCGATAGACAAGATGAATATTGTCAAAAATTAAAACGTGAATTGAGATTCGAAATCTTCTATACTGACTTTAGTAATTTTCATCAAAATGGTGTTCGAGTATTCATAATAAGATATGTGAAAAGCGGCGATGATTAGATGACGTTTATGATTTTAATGACAGCTGTATTTACAATAAACTATTGACTTCTGATTCAGCAAGATTTTTTAGCTCTTCGTGGGTTTGTTTGTCCTTACACAAAGAAAGCTTGGGCATGAGTGTGGATGTGAATGTGATTTAGGAGAGCGTTGAAGCCCACACACAACAACTTCAAAATCAGCAGCTTTTGTACGAAGTGTCTTCAGACCCCAGGAAAATTCTAGGAGTTGTTAGGTATATAATGGAAAGCCTATGGTAAAATTTTAAGTTCAAATATCATGAGGTTTTTCGGATAAATTTGTCAAACTACTGCCCAAAAGTACCTCTTTTGGCCAGGCAGAATTTTCTGCGGACCCTCATAAGAAACGCATAGTTCCTTTTTTTGGGCCGGAGACGCTTAGAGTTGCAGGGCCGCACACAGTCTCTTTTTAAAGTGCTTACATGTTACATAGAAGAACTAGCTGACAAGTCCAACTACTCCAAAAAATGCTCTGAAAAGGCAGGTCTCTTCTGAAAAAGGCTTGCTTGTACAACGAAATGAAACTTAACTTAAAAACCGAGCTCTTTCAGATTCGGTAGAAAAATCATTTTCTTTCAAACAAAAAAAGAAGTAATTACTCAATACGAATCGTCTCTGTCAATTCTGGGTTATACTATCAAAAGCCCACAAACAAAGAAAAAACAAAAAGATTTTTCGAGCAGATATTATAGAATATTTTGGAGTATTTTATCCACTTTTTGGGTGAATATAAAGTGAGTTATCACCATTTATTATTTCTAATTTTAAATATCTGATTACCTGCATTGAATAATAAGGTAAAATCAATATTTGCTTGGATTTGTTAGGGAATTTTGTTGTTCTCCTCTACTTAAGTCGTTAATACTTCTCGCTTCTATTGAAATGCTTATTTGTCAAGCAAACATCTCAAAACTCGTTTCTTCTGAAAGAATAACTTTTCTAAGTATAAGATGATAGAGATAATCAATATTCTTGATAAAAGCAAATGCTTGTTAAAGAAAAGATCAGATTGGGAATGAAAAGTCAGACATCAGACTATTATGTCATGGGTTTAACTCAATTGCGAGTTTCCTGCAGGAAGTGCTTTTGTAAATACAATGACCAGAACTAGCCTTGTACTGAATATGTAATTTCAATTATCATGTTTGCATAATCATGTAATAGCGAAAGTCTGTGATAAAACAGAAATGTTTAGGTTCAAGAAAACAGATATATCATGACAAAATTCCGATCGAATAGTTGTCTCATATTGAAGTTAATGAAACAGTCCGAAATTTTTGTTACACGATTAGATAAATTATTTTGCTGACGACATCTATCGCTAGTAAAAACAAACAGAGCTCTTCTTATCAATCACAATCGTTTGTCAATAATAGTCACAGTTGAGATAAAAAACTTTTTAAAAATTTTTCGACATATAAAAAATTAACTATATCATCAAGAGAAAGTCATCGCGGGTGTTATCTGAACAAAACACGGATCATTGCTTATTGTCCACAAGAGATTTCCATAAAAACAAGTAAAATTACATCATTTTATTCATTATTTCTGTGGAAATATTTGAACACTTAATAGAGCTACTCGCACTTGGTGAAGGTTTGGGTATTCGTATTCTCATTGCTTAGATCCATAGCCATAATCAGATTGTATGTAAAAATTAATTGTCAAATACTATATGCGTACGTTTCTCGAAGAGCAGCAAATCGATCTCAAAATTTTGGAATATGACCGAAGCATGCCCAAATATTTTTGTAAAAATGATTGATGGATTTGAATTCAAACATGTGTTGCTCTATTAACCTTGTTTCTTTTTATTTATGAGAGCAATAATAATTTTATCTGTTCGATTTTACCAAACAAAAGATTCTCTATAGGGTTCTGAATTTATCGATTCATGGGCAGGCAATCCAAGTAGCAGCAGCACTATGCACAATCGAACTGGCCCACGAGGAGAATCTTAGATTGAAGCCGTAGGGCGTTGCATCCTCCGCATATAGGTAAAGTCGAAGGTTACGATCAGTAGTTCTACAAACAAAATATCAACATACAATAAATACATTGAACCAGATTGAAGCGAAATAATCTTTGTTGACTGAATCTGTCACTATCGAGAAAGTTTTTCAACGACACGACATCGAGCGCAAGTAATAGATGAAGCTCACTTTGACTTTCAGCAATACTTAAACAATGAAGAAAAATCTTGTCAATGGATCATCATTAGACAAGCATTTATTGCCGTGAATTGCTATTTATGTTGCTGTGATATGCTTTTTCGTATCATTTCTATTTATTTTCCATCACTCGAATCTAGCTCAACCCAAAGAAGCACTCATTCTCAGCGCATGCTGTATATTTTTTCTAAGGAACACTCAATGTTTCCGTACTTTCTATTTATAATCAATACACATGACTTTGCCAAAATATATGAAACATAATGATTATATTTACCTAACATCTAAACCGTTCAAGTTCACTTGTAGAAGCTTCGGTATGGCTTTGAAAGGTGGCGAAAAACGAACTGCTTTCACCACATTTCTACGACTACATGTTAATTCAAGATCTTGAAGGTTTTCCTTGTCACAGTAGTCTAGATTGACACTGCCACCTTGACCTATCAATAAGAAAGCAATAAAAATCTTTCATTATTACTCTTAAACAAAAACTTACAACTTTCGTTTGACATCTCGCCTTTGGAAAAGCAAGCTATGATGCAGAGAACCAGCACATAATAAGTATTCATTCTGATAAACTGAAGACTTGCAGCTACTCAACAGCGTTGAAATGAAATGGTAAGTAAAGGAAATCGATTTATTTCATGATAATCTTAGTTTTTGCGACGCAATTGCTTTAATTTTAATATATAAGATGTAATTTATACTATGCAAATATGTCGGAAAAAATTAACCATACAGAGTGAGTGTGGACGGAAGAGTGTATGCCTTTGATTCACATTCTGGATGAATGGTCAGTAAACAGTCTACGATGTATTCTTACTGCAACACATCTTACTTCAGTGTGTGTCAGATATAAAGTCCCTGAATCGCATGAATGCGACAATAACATTAACTCAGTTTATAATGTTGCTCTCGCAGCTAGATGTTGCCATTAGCCTGTTTTTTTTCCTTATCTCAATATTTATTGCAGTGATGGTATAGAACACGGTATTGGTGTTGTTCTGACACATTCTATGTATAAAGGTAAGCGAAAGAAAAAAGAATGTGTAAGAATGAAAATAATCACCCGCACTACACATCTATAGAGCACGTTTTTTCTACAGCATCTTTTGAAAAGAGTGACGAAACATTTTTCGTACTATGAGTCATACCGATGTCAATGGTAGTTGCGTTAATAGCAATGTGAAAAAGTTACAATTTGATAGAAATAGTTCCGTACAAGTGTGTAAAATAATGTTTCATGCAGATACAAAATTCATAAAAAATGATTTGATTTTTACTATGGTTGATACCAACGGTGGACGACAATCTTTTTTATCACCCGTATCTGGTACAGTGACTAAATTGTATGTTCATGAACTGGATACTCTTTCGTATGGTTCAGTCATTCTGGAGTATGAAGAATGTCGACATACGATCACTTTTAAAAACCTGTGTAGTGATTGTGGTATCAATTTGAATCAATTGAAAAATACTTTGCCACCATTAACATGTATAAAACCTGTCATATCAATGGAACCTTCATTTCCAACAGTAAAAATTACTGTAGAAGAAGCTTTAAGATATGATAATGAAGAGCGTAATTATCTTTTGCGCAAACGTAAACTTCATTTATTGGTTGATCTTGATCAAACTCTGGTTCATACGAGTAATTCTAGAAATCATCATCTGTCTTTACGAGATGTGATTACTTATCAACTAAACACTCCAATGCCACAAACATTCTATACAAAATTACGTCCAGGTGTTAGAGAATTTCTGATGAATCTTCAATCACTCTATCAATTTCATATAGTTACTTTTGGTGATCGACCATATGCACATACTATAGCTAAATTAATTGATCCGAATGGAACATTTTTTTCTCATCGAATCTTATCACGAAATGAATGTCTTAGTTTGACAGATAAAACAGCCAATTTGAGTAGTCTCTTTCCTTGCAGTGATGCGTTAGTCTGTATTATAGACGATCGTGATGATGTCTGGAATTATGCTCCAAACTTGGTTCATGTCAAACCGTATATATGGTTCAAAGATGTTGGTGATATCAATAGTATACATCTTTCATCATTATCAATCTCCCATACACAAATGATTCCACAAATTAGTGAACAAATCGAGACTAACGAAGAAAGACATCGACCAGGTGAAAAACGTAAGTTCGATAACAAGAACGATCAATTAAGTAAAAGATGCAAAGAACAAAACAATTTCCATGAAGTTGTGGATACTGATCTCTACTTACGCCAACTAGAGATTATTTTAAAACGTATCCATACAGTATTTTATACGGCTTATGATCAATGGATCCAAGATAAACACAGGATTATGCCGAATTTGAAGCAAATTATGCCTAATATTCGTCAACAAATACTCAATTCTGTATCTCTGTGCTTCTCTCATTTAATGCCAAAAAACTATCCATTAGAAAAACATCGTGCAACAATAATGGCTAAAATGATGGGAGCAACAGTTACTCATGATTTACAATTTAATTGCAATGGTACAATGCGAACGACACATGTCATTGCTGGAAAACAAACGTTGAAAGTCCAGCAAGCTCTACAAAATAATATAAAAGTTGTCACACCTGAATGGTTAATTGATTGTTATGAACAATGGGAAAAGAAATCAGAAGAGAATTATATTCTCCTGCCAGATTATGATGTTTGCAAATCACGATTATTCACTGAGGAAATTCCTCGAATATCTAAACGACGTTATTGTGATATACAGCACGAAGTATCTGTCATTCAACCATCGTCTTGTGATGAACAGATAACAACTGATCGAAAACGATCTCAAACAAACAGCAGCAGCCTTTCAAATAATACTTCACCGAAATATTCATCCGACCGTTGTAACTTCAATACGAGCGCTGACGAATGCTTTGGTGTGGAAAAACAAGTGAATAAATTATATATTGAAGATGATGATACTGATGACATAAGTCCACAACCATTGAAACGGCAACGCACAGAGACATCTGCAAAGATGCTCGATAAGAAAACGGACAATAGCGATGAGGCTGATGATGGTTTTGATTCGGATTCATCTAGTATGCAGGAGTGGCACGATTTGATTTTCGGCAAAAACGATGACACTAGTTCAGATGAAGAATGTCTTGGCGATGATGATGTACCTCGAGGTTGGAAAAAAGTCTACAAACAGAAACGCTAATTGTCATAAATATTTGTGTTGTTACGCAACTTGTAAGAAAATTGACCTTCTTGATGAGATGTATACTTAGGCAATTTCTGAATTGTATGTTTTATCACTAAACATTTAGTAATAATAATACTGTAATACTTGTGTGAAATACAAGTCTTCATGGAAAAGATATCTGCTATCTTTAGTGGAAAATATCAATATATATAATGATGAATACTTGGAGCTTTTAATTGCATTTTTTCTGATGGAATAGCCTATCTTTTAAAACTTTCAACTATGAACACGACATATATATATATGACTAAAATGTTAAAATCTGAGTATATCAGTTCAAACAGCTCACAAACACGACATATTTTTACTGCGTGGTTTTGGTAGTGAGAACTTTAATCAGAACTGAATATGTCCAATATTCTTAAGTTATAACACACAATCTTCCATTATCACAAACTAGATGATCATAAATGTAGATCAATAGAAAGATCATGCCAGATCCGCTCGTATTCGGCAGCTATTGACATTGTTATTCTAGAGGTCAACAACAATGACTAAAACTTGAGAAACGTGTTTATTTTAATTTTGCCCGTGATATTTGATTTCGTGGTATGAAGCAATTGAATACTTGCTTAGATTTATTGAGGAAAATGGCAGAGAATGGACCAAAAGAATATTTTTGCTGACCAATAACCAAGTTCTAAATTATCTAAATATTCATCATCCGAAGATACGGACTGTAAATCATTAGCAACTATTCAAATTCACTAATGTGAGGCCTCCAAAATATATCCTATTCAATTCAATAACGGTCCAATTCATGATACACTATATTAATTAGAAGCAATCGTCTCTATTCTATTGATTCCCATGACCCGCTTCCTCTGTACAGAGATTGGTATTAAAACATGAGATGAATTTCGACAAGAAATGAATTCGCTAATATCCCATTCATTTAGAATGCCTATAGGCCCTTCAATACAAACACTCTATATGTGCATGAATTATTCTAAGTATCAATGCTCATCGAAAATTATTCGTTATGCTTGGATGTATATACGGAATATAGGTGCAGTTTGTTGACATAAGTGAGGAAGTGAGTTCATCCTTTATCAACATCCCACACTCACACGTAAATCTTTAAAATAAGTGTTTTTATAACTCATCATCCTTTTATTTATCCAGAATCCAAAAGCATCCTTCTTCAAAAGCAAAAAAGAATTAGAAAGAAGAAAAGAAAATTCAATAACAAATGTATCACTAAACATACAAGCAAATAAGACAGAACATTATGTACAATTAATTACATGAGTCGAAAAACATAAGCAACTATATACGGATGTATTATGGTCAATAGTCATGACAAGTGCATTTGAAGAACAAATAAGAACTGATATATCTTGCTGGCATAGAAGTTCCATAAGGAAACGAGAATAAGTCGAGCTAGTTTTGTTGTCTTGTACGATAAAGACCTATGGCACATCGCACACAACATTGTACAGCCCAAAGCACAATGATAATAATCAAATAGATAAAAGTAAATACATACAAAGTACGTTGACAATATTTTTTCCGAGGATGTGGATTTGTGTATTGAACTTCATTATGAATACTGAATGTCCATACACTGCCAATGATCACCCAAATGAACAGAAAGATATGAATGAGCATCGTCATTATGGCAAGTG